CTTCGATATGATCCATATCACAATCCAAACATGCATACGCATGTTAGATTTCTAACGGAGACGGATATGTAAATATTTCGTCGTGTGGTCTGATAGATATTCACCGACGTTTCAGAGGAACGTACTGCCCTGATAATTGAGGCAGTAAATTTTTTAAAAAGATATTTAGTGATAGAATTTTGAATTTACATCATGGCCGTTTAAAGCTGAGTCCATGTTTTCATTACTTAGATGAGTTGTGAATTCTTAATATTGTGTTCATTTATAAGTCTTGTATGTTTCCTGTAATTATGATAACTGGAGATTGATTCTATGTTTTTTATAAGCAGAAGTTCTGCATCATGTTCTGTTTGCCAATTTATCACTGGTTCAATAGAAATATATTCTTTCCTGGATCTGCCTACAAACACAATGTCATTTCTTGTGGGGAAATTAACTATCGACATGAGATTAAAAGATGCTAGTATAGAGTAATGTATGTTGGCAGTAACTTTGAGTAAGGTAATTAATGCTACTGTCATCACAAATGACAAATTCTGCTGTAGGTTTATAAAGATAATTTATAATGCTATTTAACTGTGTGTGTTTGTTCCACCACTGAAAGTGCCGTATGTATAAATGTTACGCTGCGTTGAAATTGAGACAGCCTTGTAGCTCTGTGAAAAGTACAGAACAATATGACAGCAGTGTAATCCATTTCAACCTCAGTTACAGCAAAGGCCTGGGTTCAACCCCCCGCCATCAATTGCTTCATCTCCAGGTCCAAACATGATGCAGCGACCACAGCAGCAGCCTCCGTACACACCGATGCGACAAGGGCCAATCAATCCTCCGTCTGCAGCTAAAAGACCGACCGATTCTAGGCCACCGCCTCCACAACAAAAAACGTGAGAATTCTGTTCGTGTAAAATTGGCGGAGTGGGAATCAAGTTCACTTCATCAATTTATTGAGGTTTAAATGTACAGAAGCTTGCCAATGATACCAGTTTTTTTAAATACAGTGATGCGTTGCTTTTAAAAGTCAACATTCAGTTTTTTGTGTGAAACAGGAAGTTTCCTGAATTTTATTTGGTGTAGGATCAACTGTCCTGTTGCATGGCCCCTCCAAGTTAAATTAGTATTACACTGTGTGTTTTGGCAATATAAATGTTTATGTTCAATGTATTTTAAATTTTCAGCGAATTTTCTCACTCTACAAGTAAGAAAAAAAAGAAATTGGCAGATAAGATTTTGCCGCAGAAGGTACGAGATCTGGTACCTGAATCACAAGCGTACATGGACTTGCTGGCCTTTGAACGGAAACTGGATTCTACCATCATGAGAAAGAGACTGGATATTCAGGTTTGAGGATGACGTGTAACTTGTTAGAACTTTAAGTGAGATTATTCTTTCAGTCTCTTAACCATTCGGTAAAGATGGTGATAGCTTAAAGCTGGGAACTTTGCTTCCCCCCCCACTGAAATATATTAACATAGTTACACTAAATTTTGCAGTATAATTGTGGCTGATGTTTATTCTAGTGGTGATGGCAGCCGGCATGACGGCTACGATAGAATAGAAATAAAAATCTGCAAAGTTTAATTAACTTTGTTGGCTGTTAATGCATTAGGTCGTTGAGTTACAGCCAAGCTCATTCATTGCTGACTAGGCCGAAGGGACACGGCTTGCGTAATACAGAAGAGCAACAGATGGGAAGTTGCCTCTGCGTAGATTTTTATAATTTCAAAGTACGTCTCATAAGTTGGTGTCAATTGAAAAACGAGCTGTGATGTGTCAACTTGTGTTCAGCGTTGGACTTGAAAGGACAGAGACTTTAATTTTTAGGTGTTGTTTTAAAAGTTATTATTAGTTGCTGTCTTTTTTAAAAAACTGTGTTTAATTAACCAGGTATTTACTGATCAGTCTGTTGATTTAAGTTATTTGTTAATAGTGAAGAGAGTTTATCGTCTATCAGTTGTTGGCCATTTTCCCTCCACAGGAAGCTCTGAAACGGCCCATGAAGCAGAAACGTAAACTGCGTATCTTCATCTCCAATACATTTTATCCAGCGAAGGATCCTACTGAGGGGGAAGAGGGGAGTGTCGCGTCATGGGAACTGCGTGTCGAAGGCAGACTCCTGGAGGACAGTAAGAATGATCCAAACAAAGTATGTTTCATTATCAGAACAACAATAACAAACAACAATTCTATTCACAAAGAAATTAAGAGTATATTAAATTCAGGGAATGCAGTTCAGAATCCTTTGTCTTCCTGTCAGCTGTTCGAGGCGTAGAGATTGAAATATCAGAAAACTAGAATTTTACTTTTTGTTGTTTATGGATGTTAAGAGATGAACACAGACTGAGGGTGGTTCAGAACAGGGTGCTGTTTTATTGGTTACCTGAAGGGTAGAGTCTATTTGGGAAACCTAGACACAGATAGGAGGATGTGTTATACTGGATCTTATGGAAGTAGAGTGCGGGGGCACGGACTGGCGGTAATGAATGTTTGGATTAAATGAAAGGCGTGCGATTTATTTTCAAGCCAAGAAACTACTGGCTTCTCGAAAAGGAATTACAGTGAAACCTCGATGCATCGTTTTCGGCGGGGGTGGGAAATAAAAACGATAGATGCGGGAAAACGATAGATGCGGGAAAGCATTAAAAATTTTAAAAAAAACAATGTTTCTCTTTCAAAGTTACTTCTTTTTACCAAAAAAGTCTTTAATGGACAACTGGTTTGTCGAAACTTTACGTTTTAGACCAAACAGAGCACTTTCCACGTTCAAAATGTTTTCCTCGTCACGTTC